GCGGTTTACGGAAGACGATGGGACAGATGTAACAGACAGCAAATCATCATGGTTTCTATTTGTCCTAAAGTTGTTCTCCTCTTCCTCGTGTTCTGTTCCAGGTCCATTGGAAAGATCGTCACCTTCTTCAGCATTTGAGCTGAGGTACTCCGTAGCTCTACCAGTCACCTCTTGATCTGAAACTTCCATATCCTCATTATCGTCCTCGTCATCGTTTTCGTCGTCATCATCATCATTATACGTATCACATCTGCCGGTCGGCGAAAATATGATTCTTTCAAGAAATGGGATGACTAAGTGTGGAGCATGCTTCTCGAGATAACGAACAACCTGTTCACGATATTGTAGACCTGCTTCGTGAAATAAGAATGAGTGAATCAAAAGAACACGGAAAAAATTAAGGCGTGAATAAAGTCTAAAAAGTAAGTTTTGTTAAATAAATAGTAACATAATGCATGAAAAATATGTTTATATCTAGACGGATCCAGGAACAGACTGTAAGGTGTTAGCCCGCTTAACCTTATATTTCATATTTAAATGGAAAAATTTATCAAGAGTTGAAGATAATCATATTCTAGCTTAGGGATTTCGCATAGTCTGTTAAGGTTTCTGCTAAATTTTGCCCCGTCGTAATAACGGTACCTAACAACGTCTGTGCATAAGAGCAAATGATAGAAGAGTTCGATTTGACATTACAAAAACGGAAATACATAAAAATGGTATAAATACCAGAGTTTGTGGATTTATTGAGCTCACAGCGCTGTTCACTGACTGCGCGTTCCCAAGCAGAGAAAATACGCATCCATGCAGCTGGTCGGGCTCCAAGTATCCATCCGGCGTACTCGGCGACCAGCCGGAAATGCTCGGGACCCAGACCTCGCAGGTAAGCCACGGTGTATGCAGGTCGTGAAATACGCTCCAAGACAGCCTGACGAGTGGTTGGAATAGTCTCAGCCTGATCCATCTCTTCTACTTTCACAATGCACCCAGGATGACCTGTGAATGAACTTGAAAGAGAGCTATCTGTATACTTCCACCCCGAATCCGATGGAAGATTGGAGTTGGATAAGCTGCTTAATTCACCATCACGACAGAAATCATTGTACTGGCGTGATTTCCAAACAGCTGACCGTTTAGCAAGACGAGCTTCGCCAAGAAGCCGTAATAGGCTAAGAGCTTTTTCATGGAGTCCTCGAGTCTGATAAAGAACTACAAGATCCTATGCAGTAAAAGAATCAGAAGTGATAAAATTAGTATGAACAAAACGAAAAGTGTTGCTTACTTGTATAGCTGAAAGACCTATTAGAAAGCTATACATTGAGATTTTATAGATAAGATCTTTAAATAAAACTAATAATTTCAAAAGTTTTTAACTTGTGCATATTCCGAATTGCCTTAGTGAGCCCCTTTCTCAGGGGCTATTAAAGTGAGAGTAATAATCCCACTTACCTCGTATTGCATGTACTCTGTAAGAACGCGCTCTGACTCTCCCAGATGACAATAATTACGACAGCGCAGCAGGGGGCCTACTCGAGCTGCATTGGTGGCAAGATAACACTTGAGCAGGCTAGTATCAATAACTTCGAGTAATAGACGAGCGGAGTGACGCTTCGGACAAGTATCGGACGATTGAAGAGCTTTCTGTCGGTCGGCCGACAACGAAAAGCAGTCCAGCCAGGCGTCCCATTTGGATGATTCTTGCGGGCCACTAAAAGTAGAGGATGGGGAAATTGTATTTGTGGCAGTAGAAGAAATCTTAATGGTATGGCTAACGCCATCGGGACCAATCGAGCAACTGTTGACAACCGAGGAGAGGGGATCTGAAGAGGCGGTTGAGGATGCCCATTGGATGGCTGAGGCAAAAATACCGCCAACGCCGAATTCACGGCCGGTCGAGTCGCCTGGATGTTGTCGGGTGCGTGGACAGGCGGATTCTAGCAGTTCACTAAGGCGACGACGCCAGGATACCAGGTAAGTGATCAATGGCTCAGAGAGGTTATCGACCAACTGGGAATTAAGAATCTATCACAAGTATAAACAATAAGGAAGTGAGAAATAGTTGAAAAAAGATGTAACTACATAAATAAGGACAGAAATGTGGGAAAAACATGAAAATAGGAAAAATTCTATCACCTAGCGAGACATAAAATAGATATAACAGCAATATCCGTTTAAAGTACATTTTTAAACGATCATTAAATCTTGAACAACAGTTCCAGTAACCCTAGGTAACATAATGATGAAAGATTGATATTAGAATGATGC